GGGGTAAAAATGGGGGCAGGTGTGTCGGAGATGGTGAGATTGGCACAGGATAGGGCAGAGTTTAGGACTGTTGTATATGGGGTCGCTATGAGTCTCAGGCAACTTGGCGTCTCATAACAACAACAACAACAGGATAAATATATTCTTAACAAATTTACTCTGTTTCCCTCACCTGTAAAATAAAATCCCTTATGCTAGCACTTGTAAAAGAAAATCCCTTATGCTAGGGAGAATTAGGGGGAAAGCCTCAAAATTGGACTCCTTTTCTCAGTCAAGGGATATGGATATTCAGTTGAACAGTGCTCTGGTGGCCTAGTTCGTAAGGAATTATACTGCCAACCCAAAGACAGTTTCAATCCATCAGGCCCTCTTGGAAGAAAGATGGGTAATCTCACACCACCCAATGACAGTCTTTTAAATCCGCTGGAAGGTCAGTTAAGAGTTGGTTCCTATTCTACAGCGATGAATGAAATATCCCAGGCGAGAGAATAAAACAGACACAATGCTGTACTGTGAATGAAATCAGAGAGATAAGCACCAACTTTAAAGACTTACAGGATATGGCACTGAGAGCACTTCTGCTAGAACCAGATGGTCCATGGAGGATGACAAGGACTACTCTAAACTTAACAAAGTTGGGGCACTGGTCACAAATGCAAAGCTATGCCAGGTATAGTACCATTCTTGGAAATATCAACACAGACTCTAGTAATTAGTATAGAGACTTGGAACTAGCAAAAGACTCTGGAAGTTTGTATGAAATCTGCTTTTAAAATTTTTTTTTCTCCAATCATTTAGAAAATAAAAATAATTTCTATTTACAAGAGAAAGACAGTAATCTGAATTTACCTACTTTCTGCTTTCTCATGGCACTGTCTGTAGGGACCTTGTTTGCCCTGTGATCCCACAGAACTTACTATATGGATAAAATCAAGCTAATCAGTTCTGATGAAGAGCAGGTTCATGGGGCCCTGCAAGATATATACAAGCTAGAGGATGGAAGATTAAGGTCCTGCCACATCGGTGAAGATTCTTAAGAGTTCAATAGTTTGGAAGATGTTGGTATTCTCTTCAAGATAAAGGGCAAGTTTGAAACTTACACACTCTATCATTAAGAAAGAAGACATTGAGGGCGTCTTTGGCTTTTGAAAACATCATAAAATTAGAAATACTGCTCTTGGAAGCCTGCCAGTTTTAAGTGGAGTGCTGAGCAAGAGAGGATTCTGCTGTGGACTCTGCTGTGATGCAAAATGACCCATATGCACTACTTAGTCTATCCACTGATGCTGTGGGAGTCTACCACTTATCTGTGGTAAGCATGAACGTTGTGTAGCATCTTTGGAGATGTCCACATAGAAGACTCATGATCCCATGGTTCTGGACAAGGTCAAACTTTCCTACTGTTTGAAAAGCAACCTATTAAATGCCCCTGTGCCCTGTTGAAAATAAGAACCTGAATACATGATACCATGAGAGTAACATCCACCATGAGCTGGGCATTATTTCTCTCTCTCACACAAACCCACACACACCCCTTGGAGAGGATTCAGCTGGAGTGCCCTTTTGGAGGCAAGAATCATGAAGCTTCACCTCACATCCTTTGGGCAAGCTGCTAGGAGGGGCTATTCCTTGGAAAAGGACATGATGCTGGGAAGGCTGGAGGGTTGGTGAAGGAGAGGAAGATTCTCGACCCGGTGGATTGACACAGTGCCTGCTGCATTGGGCTCTTGTGTGTCAGAGTGAGGATGGTGCAGGATAGAACAGGCTTCAGATCTGTTGTTCATGGGATCGCTATGAGTTGTATTCGACTCGATGGCACCTCACAACACCACAGACCACTGTAAGAGCAGTCACAGTAGCAATCTTCACTGGGAACTGTATATTTGGGAGGAAGCCTCAGTAAATCCAAAAGGAGCCCGTAAGTCACATAAAAAAGCGGCCTACATTCCTTATCATTTACTCCTCTTGCACTCATATATCTCTCTCAATCTACTCCTATGATCTCATGGGGAGTTTCCTATAATGAGCTGTGATTAATTATTTACAACCACAAGAAACGACCAGAAAGATTTGAATGGCAATCAACAATAAGCATTTATTGCTCACACATCTAAGGCAAGCTGGAAATTGGCTACACAGATTTTTCTCATCTTGGCTGGGCTTGCTCACATGTTTTGGAATTGATTGGTGGTGACTGGGGCAACTTGGCTTTGCTCCACACGTCTCTCATCTTCCATCAGACCATCCCAGTTCTTATGTCTATGGCAGAGGCACAGGAGAAGACCAATCACCCAAGCAGTTTTTAAGCCTCTCTTGGATTATATTCGCTAGTAGTCCATTGGATTGGCCCAAAGCAAACCCTATGGCTGATCTAGAGGCAAGAGTGAGGCAAAATATCCCATGAGAACAGGCAGACAATGCAAAATTATAGAACCAAGGGCACAGATAAAGGGAAAAGTGAATAACTGAAGCTGGTTTTGCAATATTAACAAAACAACTGACAGATAAGGGCAAAGTAGACCCTTGCTCATAGGTGGTTTGCTGTGGTATGTAGTGTAAGCTAAATATGACTGGGTGCCACAGGGTAGTTTGTCAAAGGTGGCCCAAAAGGTTAGTGTTGAGAGGAAAAAAATATTCCTGATGGACAGAAGTAGTAGTAGGACATTTGGTCATCCATTTTGACAAAGAGATGTCTAAGAATAAGTACAGACTTTTGACCAGTGGCTTGGCTGGCTGGTTGGGGCATGGATGAAGCAAGACAGAAAACTAGAGAAAAATCTGGGTTACAAATAGTGGCTAGGACAGCCAAAGGGTAATGGCGTAGTCTGTAGGGAGTTGTGTTGCGAACACAAAGTCAGTTTTTTTAACTTCCTTCAAATGATTAGGTGGGTCCATGAAAATGAGATACCTTTGACCCACCAAGAGGATTGCAGTTTTCTAATACTGAAAATGGCCTTACTGTGGTGGAAGGCCATGCAAAAAAAGGTGCATGGCGCCCTAACAAGGGAATTGGTCGGTCTGGTTATCCTGCTATTTTATCCTAAAATAGTCACAGCAGAACAGAAAGGATGAATCTCATGACTATTAAGAAAAGCCAGAAATGGAAAATATCTTTTGGATTCAGGATTTCTGAACTGGGACCTCCTACACCTTTTAGACAGAAAGGACGGTGTAACATGGAAAACCACGAGAAACACTGGTGAGAAGAAGTAACTGCACAGAAATTAGAACAGAACTAGAAAGAAGACAAATATGATGAGGTTTAGGAACATGAAGCAAGAAAGTTGAATGTTTTATCGGCAGGAGGCTTGCTGACAATTCAGACACCTGCTCCTTGGTCTAAGCATAGGCTTTGTATGAACATAATTAATTGTTCTGGGATTTCCCTTCTTCTCAATGTTAGCCATAATTTGTTATAATCCACACAGTCAAATACCTTTGCATAGTCAACAAAACCAGCTAGAAGGTCAGCTGTGAGTCAGCTGCAACTCAAAAGCACAAAACAACAATAAACCATGTATCCTTTCTTCACACCTGTTTAATCTCTATGCTCAAAAAATTATTCAAGAAGTTGGACTTTATGAAGAAGACAGTGGCACCAGATTAGAAGTTTCATTAAACACTTGCATCATTAACCAACCCTGCTAGCTGAAAGTGAGAAGGGCCTGAAGCATTTGCTTCAAAAGATCAAGGACTACAATGTTCACTGTGGATTACATCTCAATACCAAGGAAACACAAATCTTAGTCCTGAGCTAAATGCCAACAAAATCATGATAGATGGAGAAAAAGACAGAAACTGCCAATGATTTCATCTCATTTGAATCCACAATCAACAACCTTGGTAACAGCAGTCGGGAAATCAAAAGACGTGTAGCACTATAAAGGTGTCTGCAATCTGGGACCTCTCCAAATTACTGAGGAGCAATGTCATCAGTTTGAAGTCAAAGGTGTGCCTAATCTAAGCCATGGTCTTTTCAATTATTTGCTACTCATCTGAGAGCTGGATAGTGAAGAAAAGTCAGAGAAGAATTAATGCCTTTGAGTTGTGGGCTGGAAAAGAGCATATCCCATAAAATGCCAAGAAAATGAACAATGTTCTCTTGGGGATTACAGCCAGGATGCTCCTTAGAAGGGAACAGAATAAAACGTCATCTCACTTCCTCGGGGAATGTTGTTAGGAGGGGCCAGTCCATGGAGAAAGACCTCATGCTCAGAGAAATGAAAGGTCAGCAGAGGAGGCGAAGACCCTCAATGAGGAGGACTCGGCCAGTGATTGTAACAATGCGCTCTAGTGTAGAAGAGATGATGACACAGCAGAGGGCAGGGTTCGGATCTAATGCTCATAGCATCTAATGCTCATAGCGTCACTATGTGTCACACTTAACTTGACAGCACCTAACAACAACAACAACAACATAACAAGGGAGCTCTGGTGGCATGGTGAGCTGTACTGCCAACCTAAAGGCACACTGTTTGAATCCACCAGCTGCTCTGTGGGAGAAAGCTGGGCAAGCTCCTCCCAATCTCCCACTTGATTTACTGTCTCTGAAAATTTGCTGGAGGGTCAGTTATGATTTGGTTCTGACTTAAGCAAATATATTAACAATAGGTGACTTTGAGAAGAGATCTATATAAATTAACAGCCAAGAGGAAAAAGCTCTATATGTTAATAAGTGCTATCAATAAGCTCCGTATCTACAATATACATTTTATGTTTTCATAGAAAATTTAAATCTAGTCTTACTGACCTTAAGAAATTTAACAAGTCTTATGATATGACTATAAATAATACTTTTCATGTTAACATGGTTACTAAAAACTTAAGATTTCCTTAGCCAATTTAATTTTAGACTGAATAATCAAATTTCTTTTTGATCACAGTCAACTTTTTAATGCTCACTGCATCCCCAAAATGTTCCACTTTTGTATTTATAGTATTAATTGTAGTTTACTTACTTTATTTTTCAGTTTGGGCCTTTTATTTTGGTAACAAGACACACTGCCAGGTCATAAATGTTTTCTTTTTCAACACTGAGGAAGCTTGGCAGTGGGTATGTGGTCATTTGATATTTTTATGACAAGGAATTTTAGTTTAGGTTCTTGATCTTACAGAATGTAAACATATACCTACACATGTCTAGAAATTCTTATCAAAATTCTACTTAGTCACTAAAAGAAGATTCACTATCTGAACTGTCTTCTGCATTTTTTGCACTTTCACCATCAGGCACTGGAGCATCTGGTCGCCTGAAAGAGAAGAAGGAATATGTTTTAAAGTTTTCCAGTTGCAAAAAGCACTTACTAACTGTAAATTAAGTTCATTTTAGAATATTGATGCTAATAAATCTGCCAGGTTTGCCATCCTTAACTGAGGCAGTCTCCCGCCCTACACCACAGCATCGTCCTCTCTGGCTTCTTCAGCTTCGTGGGGATTAAGTGCTATTCCTGTGGAGGCTATGGCACTGTTTTCTCCTGCCAGTCCTTGCATAGTGTGCTGCCTCAGCACTTTCTGCTTCTCATTACCATGGTGACCCAACTATAGACGGAGCTGAGATCTGTAGAGGCTGGCATGACAAGTGTGAAATCCCTGCAGCCTCCAAGCACAGATGCGGTACAGAGAATGGAAAGCTAGAAATGGAAAGAAAAGGCAAGCCTTGATATTAGGAAAGCCTGATATCAGGGAGAAGTTGAGAAAGGGCAGCGAGTTAAAATATGGCCATTAAGAGACGGAGGCAACACAGTAACATGGAGGGAGGGGTGTGCTAGTCAGAGCAAGGTCTTAATGCCTGTTGAATGTTTTCACTTCAGACAACAAATATGAAAAGTATTAAGACTACACAGTTGAACTGGGAAAACTACCACTTCGAAGATTCCAAGAAGTAGTGGGCATGAATACTGAGCACCAGAGAGGCTCTGGTGGTGCAGTCGTGGTTACAGGGAACGGCACTGCAAAGCCAAAGGCAGAGCCTCTCCGGAGGTGTGGACCCTCTAGCACCATCACAAACGAAAGACGTAAATTGGCTCCTATGCAATTTACAGCCTCTCGAAAATCCTCGAGAGCATCAGTCATGAGTTGTTCTCAACCTTATAGCAATGAGTTTGAATTGAGGATTATTTGAAGATTCCATAGGCACAACCAGCAGCTACAAGGACAGCTGAACTCCAACTTTACATGAATGTGCTTTAACAAATCAAAACAAACTTTTGCAGATGTTTTTAAAGCAGTCAGTTAGGTTAAAGAGTGTACATAGCAGTAAATTGTTTAATCAATAGTAGCCCATTCAACCTTTATTCACTCTTTTTTTTTAATTCACTCTTAAGATAAAAATAATTAAGAAAGAAAAATATGCCTTGAGGAAGCTAAAAGGAAAGGAAGAAATTATATAGTTGTTTTGTCTTAAGAATTAAAAGCTAGTAGGACTGACTTCTTCCCTAGCTTCTTGATCCTTATTGAAGATTTTAGGATACTCAAATAATAAAATTTCCCTTTGCCATAAACACAAATCATTGTTACTAAAAGTAAGAAACCACGTAGTCTAGCATTTACTTCTAGTTGTTAAAAATGATGGCTATTCTGGCTTATATATTTTTTACTGTGGTAAAAATCTATTTACCAAACATTTCCCACTTCAACATTTCTCACATGTACAAGTTGAGTTCATTTTGCTGTACAATCATCATTCCTATCCATTTACAAAGTTTTCTTTCACCTTTAACAGAACTTTGTGCTACTCAATGACTAGCTGGTAATTTTTTTTCTATCATATCTGGCATGTGTCAAAATAAAAAGAAACACTGGCATTGCCCTTTATGTTTCAAATATAAACTTATTTTTCTGCTGCACAATTCTGGATTATATCTATGAGGGAAAGCAATGCAGTAAAATTTTAAAACTTAATAGAGCATGAGTGGTTTCCCGGTTTTGACTGATGCTTCACTTGCCTAAAATACAACATGGGACGACAGTTTTCATGTCTTTGTCGAAGCCACAATCCTGAGAAGGAAAGGGCATGGATACTGAGCACACTTCTCAGTAAACTCTTTCCTATTCAGTTACTTTCTTATGGTTTCATTTTGAGAAAAAGGAAAAAATTACCAGAGAGGATAATTTGAAACACCACTACAAATATTACATTAGTATCTATGGCAACTCAAATGAAATGGTATATACAGCTCCTTAAAAGTCAACCTAAGGGCTCTCTGGTGGCTGAGTAGCAAGAAGCTACACTGCAATCTCAGAGGTGGGCAGTTCGAATCTACCAGATGCTCTGCTGGAGAAGGAGGGGCAATCTCCTCCTGTACCAGTCAGATCCGATTTGACGGCACGCACGCACACACACACACACACACACACACAAAATTAAAAAATAGTCAACCTAATTATACAACCCTATGATTAAGCCTCTGCCCATCCTCAGGCCTCTTTTCCCTTCTCTCCTCCTTGGATCCTCGTATTCGTTCTACAATACTGGTCTTATACAGTATTGGCCTTTATGAGACTGATGGGTTGAAGAAGAGGTGGGTAAAGGAGAGGGGAAAGATTTGGTGTGAAAAATAATGTATATGTTCATTGAAATGAAAAATAAACAACCTAAATTAAAAAAAAATAATGTATATGAACTTTTTAAGTAAACCAGTACAAAATTTAAAATAATTATGCAAAAAAAAGTTTAAGAAAAGAAGTCAACCTAACTATAATGGAAGTAGCAGCTTCGATCTATAAGAAATTAGTATTCTACCTCTGAGGTCCCAAATCTTCTCACTATCTCTTAGGTGTTGGAATGGACGGAAAACCTCATAAGCAGTTCCTTACTTCACCTCTACCTTGCATGTGAACTTCTGAGTTGTAAAACAGCCCAGTGGTAGTTGGAATTTG